GTGTTTCATATAACATATTTTGACAAAGTTGAACTGGTAAATATTTGCATAAAACATCTTAACCCAACATGAATACCTCCATATTTTCACGCCTATATATGTCACCTACTGCCAGCTCTGTTTGATCAAATTTGTTATATTTTCTCTATGATGCTCGAGATATTCGTTCACAGCCTTTGGACTTGATAGAGAAGCTAGCTGCTGCTCAGTTAGTTTTATTTTTGTCTGCATCATCACAATTTTCCAAATAAGAACTAATATTTAAATGTATGTGCTCGCTTGAGAAAGTTCTCTATTTCCTTTTTTCATTTCAAACCATAAACAAATGTAAAATTTGTTAGAGTCAAACTATCAAAGTTTCTTGATTGACCAAAAAATGTTGCTACTTGAATCAATACCTGCATTTCTAATAGGTTGGCTCCATAAAACTGTCTACCTTGTTCCTCAAACAAGGATCGAGGTATATCAACTTCTACTATCTGAAATGATAATATGAATATTAAGCAAAAAAGATTACAGAAGTTGAAGAATCTAACAAAGTTGCAGAAATTGAAGAATGGTTATATGAATATATGCCTAAAATTAAAAAGGAGCACGCATACTGAAAAGATGTTGTGAGGTACATTCTAGTCTAGAAGACAAGACAGATTCAATCCAATACTGTTACTTAATGATGTAATGTTACCTTAGAAATCTGTTTTAATATAGCATTATCAGTTGCTTGTTCCCTAGCTGTTTGTTCTATCTCTTGACATCTCTGTAACAGTAATTCTTTGACCTGGAAATGCATGTTGGAGAATTTTACTCTCAATTGAATCAATAAAATTCTTTAGTTTACACTTTACAATGATAATTGAACTTGAGGGAGAAAAGTCACCTGTTCCACTGTCGTGCATCCGGAGATAAGTTTATCCGCAATAGAATCATCCAGCTCTGGTAAATCTCTGTAAAAAAGTTCTTTGCACTCAACCTGTTAGAAATGAAAGAGAAGCTTAATTAGTTGATGTGTTGAAGATTAATTTCCGTGCAAGCTCATACATACATATTAACGGTACAAGAAAATAATATGATAGCAAACATCCACAAACTATACATGTCGGTGAACAAGTTGTTATCTTATAAAACCAAATGAAAAAACTACTATGCCAGCTTGTGTTCCTAAACAATTAATTTTTTGACTCGGCATTAGAAACTTACTGTAAACTGAGCATGGACACCCTGGAGATCTTGTTGCTTCCAAGTTTCAGGAAAAACAAGGGGAAATGACTTTGTTTCGCCTCGGCCAATTCCAATTAAAGAATCAAGAAAACCTGGAACTAATAGTTCACCATCCTCTGTATCAAAATTATATCCTGCATATGTAGTATAAGGTTTAATGAAAAAATATCATGATATATCACTTCAAAAGAACTGCTGTCACAAATCAGTTAATCAACATATTTCAAGCACGTCACCAGACCTTTAGTTTCAGCAGATGGAATACTTTTGATATTCGTTTCATCCTTATCAACGGTTGTTGCCGAGATGTCAAGTACAGCAACATCACCAACCTGAAAACACGAAAAGGTATCTTGTAGCAACCGGCAAATTTTAGGTAGCCAATGTGATATGAACTCATAGACACATTGATTATCAAGATGGCATAAAATTAAATACTTATGAAAGGAAATGGTATTCATACGAAAACATTTTTCTTCGAGCCTGGACTAAATACAAAACATACATGAGGAAACATGGATAGGTTCTGAGCGCTTGTTTGGTAGAACTTAAAAATGTTACAAATAAAATGACTCTTGAAGGTTTGAAATGAAATTTTAGAAAGTAATCACAATAAAAATGTAAAAGAAAACAATTCTCTGTTAGTTGACTAGTGCAAATTAAATTCAATCACCTGTAGCCCTCTATCAGTAACAACTTTCAGTACACCGGTAGACTTGTAACACCTTTTAAATTCTCTTTCAGATGCTATGTGAGCATCTATATCACTGTCTATCTCAACAACAACCTTCACATTTTTGTATGCATCTTCAGAAATCCATTTAATTTCCGGTGCAACATCAACCATGACTTCGTATCTGGAAATATGAAACAAGTAAGACTAACAAAGATAATCTGCATGCAGAAGTAATTGATTGATAATGTGAGCATTCTATCAGAAACCTTCTCTTTCTTTATTTTATGAAAGAGGGTAGTTTTGCGGGAAGAAATGAGCGTCATGGAAAATGCATTTCAAACGATAATGTATACATTACCTAAGAAATCCGAGAGAAGAATATGTCTCCTCCATCTCAGAAAATTTAGTGACTATACCTACAGAGTCCTGCAAAGCCCTTCCAGTAACCTATAAAACAAAATCGATTATGAGATGTTCAAGTGTGTGTATTAGAATAATACTTGATCCAATAATCCACTTTTTTCAGTTATAACTTTGGCTAATATTAAAGCATTTCATTGTCAAATAGATCTCACATAAATGTACGGCCATAGACTTTGATAATAAAAAATGGCTGATTATCACTTTGTGTTAGCAGAATGTGCATGAAATGATATACTTGTCTTTTTTAAATGAAACTATATTTTGGGAATAAGCTGAATATGGCTGTTAGGGAGAAATTTCTCAACCAAGATGAAGGAATCACTCTAGGGTATAATTGCAAAAAATGCATAGTGAACCCAAAATTGTCTAAAAAGGCTAACATCATGAGATAATGTAAGTACCTCTCAAAACTAAGAAAACCAAAACCAGATTGCAACATACCGATGTTACAGCGTGTGAAAGTGTCATCCTCAATATAGCTTCAATTGTAGCCTTTTGAACATTTCTTCTCCCCACATAACCAATAAGAATATTTTCCGGGACCTTTCGTCCAGGACGAACTCCAGGTACCTGTTTATATAAAATAATGTTAAATTATATCATACTATGATAACTTATAAGAAGCATGTTTTCTGAAAGAGGTTGAAATAGTAAACTTGTAGTATATGATATGGTAGGGTAAAAATCATAAGATTTAAAAATTGAGTAACTTCAAATTTGCATGGAAGACATTGTATAGTGGTAAAATCTTCCAATATAGATACCAAAAAATCATTAATTACTAATGAAAAACAGCATGAAGATCAATTTATTAACAGACAACAACAATTTCTGAATAAACTTCTTTTGGATTGAATATGAGAAACGAAATATTATATGATTGTATAAACATGATGTAAGTATAAACCAATAACACCTTTGCATGCTTCGTAAACTCCACTAGGACCCTTTTGTAACAATTCTTGCATATCAATGGTGGCACCTCCACATGCAATCTAACCTGCAAGATGTGCAGAAATATACATTCATTTGCAAGTTAAATAATGGTACTTGCACAAGCTTACATCTACACATTTGCATGGAAGCAACTGAATAACCTAGAGAAATGTTACATGTGTACACTATAGATTGTTTAGTTTTATTATGTAATATGTTTTCATAAATAATTATGACATGCCAAATTACTTTGAAAACATTAAAAAAAAAAACTCAAAATCATGAAATCAAATGAAAATAACTTAACAATATTGTAATTAGGCTATCCTTTGCACGGAAGTTGTACATGAAAGTGATGCTCATAATTTCCCTCTAGATCAAGCTAACTAGATATCTATCTGACACTGAAACCTGTGAAAAAAGACGTGCCTGTCTGTACTAACACTTGTGATTACGTTTAATTAATTTATTTTTTCAAATTACTACAGCTGTTGCTGTATCAGTCTTAGTGTCGTGTTCAGGTGTCTACGCTTCATAGCTAGAATTTGAAATTGTGCACACATGATAGATAGGTAGATTTTACAGTTGTCATAATTCATTATCCTTTATTATGAATCATGTATCAAATGAAAAATTCGAATTCATATCTTATCAAATCAAAAACAAAAAATCAAACAATGCAGCATAAAATTGAGATAATTCATACTCTGGAATTAGCTTCCTCTGTTTGTGTGACCTTCAATTCAGCAAGAAGACGGTCATTTTCGAATTCAAGTGAGGCTGAAGAGGAAGAAGCTGAGACAGTGAAAGGCGAAGAAGTGTGATGATAGAGAGAGGTTTGTTGAATGTGAGAAGTGAAAGATGAGAGGTTGAATTTGAAGGGTTTAAGACAAGTGCTGAAACGAAGAAGAAGAGAATTTGAAGAAGAAAAGGAGAAAGAAGGGTTGAAAAGGAGAGAATTTGTGACGGTTCGAGTACAGAGCTCCATAGAAATGAAATCAAAGCTCAGCGGAGAGAGAGTTTTGGTAGGATAATATAATCCAGATGTTTTGTTTCTTTCATTTCAATATATTTCCAGTACTTTATCTATGTTAAAAAAAAAGGTGTTTTTTTTATGGATATAAAAAACTAGACTTGATGATATTTATGAAAATGAAAAATATATTTACACTTTTACAGTTATGTGATGATATTCAATTTTTATTGAAAAAAACAATAATAGTATTTAGAAAAATATTTTAAAAAATTCAAAAAAATTATTGTGATAAAAAATTATAATATAAACTCAAAAAAAATTATTTCCAATGTCGGCTCAATAGCAAACATGGCACTAATTAACTCGACATGGAAGGAGTTTTCATCACCAATAAAGGAATCAAAGCCCTACCAATGTGACACAAACAGTAGGTACTCCAATGGTTGTTTCGTTTGTGTTATCTTTGATATACGTTACTGCCACAAAACATCAATGATAACCTTCTCTTTAGGAGAGTGAACTTTTATGTCAAAGTGTTTGAGAATAAAATATAGTAAGAGGGTTTCTTATATGTCTTGAATTTCATACACCGAAGTCATTAATCTACCATATAAGAATTTTAGTGGTTTTGAAAAAGATAAAAAAAAACTCTTGCTGCTTTTAGAATTGTCCACGTCTTTTATTTAATTTTTCATCTCTCTCTTTCTATCTCTCTCTTTGACATGAACGCCACCCTCGATAAATTCAGAGGAGGCTTCAATCCCCTCGCATTCTACCGAGAAGAACTCTCCGACGGGGCCTCTAACTCCAGCATCCCCCTACTCGTGCGAGAATGCATGATGAACTTCAACGTCAGTCGCATCTTGGTCGACCAAGGTAGCTTGGTCGATATAATGCACTCTCAGTTGTTCACCACCTTGCAGCTGAATGAGACCCACCTAACCCTGTACGTGGGCTCTGACCTCTAGGGATTCAACGGTTCTGTCACCAAGCCTTTGGAATATGTCAAGCTGATCGTCACCTTCAGAGCGGCAGAAACAGCCAGGTCCAGCAAGACTCAGTTCCTCGTGGTGGACTGACAGTCATTATATCAGTGCATCTTTGGACGACCTACCTTGGTTGAACTGATAGTGGTGCCTTTCACCGTGCATATGAAGATGAAGTACTACACTGCGGAGGGACTTGTTTGCAACCCTCCACGGGGACATTCAGGCCCCAGGGAGATGTTTTGAAGCGGTCGCCAAAGGCCTAAGCTCCATCAGCACACAACCCCGAACAACCCAACAGACATGCTCTCCCCAGCGGTTCCGAAGAGCCAAGGCCACTGTCGTGCGTTAACACAATTGACCTCGACAGTCGCTTCACGAAGGAGGACCTCCGGGAGCAGAAGAAAAAGGGGAAAGAGCCCATGCTAGATGCAGAAAGCTCGTCCTCATCAACGAGCAACTGAGAGATCGCACACCCTATACGACCAATTACGGAGGGAGTTCGAAATTGTTCCCCTTGGTAGCGACCCATCCAAAGGAGTCAAAATCAGTATTGATCTCCCCGATTTGGCGAAGAGACAACTGAAGGCGTGCCCGAAGGAGAATGTAGACTTATTCGCCTAGAGCGCAGCAAAGATGCCCGATCTGGATTTAGAGATAGCTTGTCATCACCTGACTATAGATCCTGCCCTTAAGGCAGTTACTCAGCATAGACGCAAGCAGTCTCTTGAAAAAATGGAGACTGCTGAGCAGGGTGTAAAAGACCTCTTAGAGGCGAATTTTATTTGTGAAGCCCAGTACACAACCTAGCTCTCCAATGTAGTGCTCGTGAAAAAATCTAATGAAAAATGGCACATGTGTGTTGATTATAACGATCTCAATAGGGCCCTAAAGATGTTTATCCTCTGCCCAATATAGATAAATTAGTTGATAATTCGGCAGGTTTTGAATTACTGTCTTTCATGGACGCATATTTTGGATACAACCAGATCCCCATGGCAAAGACATACAAAAAATGCACGGTCTTCATGACCGAATTAGAAAACTATTACTACAACATAATGGCCTTCATCCTGAAGAACGTCGGTGCTACTTATCAGCGGATGATGAACAAAGTCTTCCGAGGAGAAATCAGAGACTTGCTTGAAGTTTACATGTACGACATGATCATAAAATCCCAAGAGGAAACCGACCATGCGCTCCACCTAAAGAAAGTCTTCGACCAAGCGAGGAACTGCAGAATATGATTCAACCCAGAAAAATGCAACTTCGGTGTACGGGGGGGGGGGGGGGGGGGGGGGGGGATTCTTCAGCTTCTACTTGACGGGACGAGGAATTGAGGCCAGCCCCGATAAATGCTGGACATTTTTTGAGTTCCCGACACCGAGCTCGAAGAAGTCGATCCAAATTCTGAATGGAATGCCTACTTCCTTTTCACGCTTCGTGGCAAAATCTGCCCAGCACACGCTTCCCCTATTCAAACTTCTTCACAAGGAGACAACCTTTGAGTTGATTGACGAATGAGAACATGCCCTCCTCCACCTCAAACAAGCAATATCACAACCATCGGTTCTTTCACAACCAGACAAGGAAGAAGTTCTCTACCTCTATCTGGTCGTGACATGTGAGGCCATTAGCGTAACCCTCATCCAGAAAACACCCGATAGGCAGAAGCCCATTTATTTCATGATCAAAGCCTTGCAAGGTCCCGAAATAAGGTACCAATAGATCGATAAGGTTTCCCTACTGCTCATTAATGCAACGAGGAGGCTGAGGCACTACTTCCTATCACACACGGTTGTGGTCCGAACAGACCAACCAGTGAAACAACTGCTCGATCGACCTGACATGGCAAACATAATGCTTAAATGGTCGATAAAACTCTCTTAGTTCAACATGAAGTACGAGAACATGAAAGTCCTTAAAGACCAAGTAATGGCTAACTTCGTAGCAGAAATGACCTTGCCAGCCTCCCCCACGAGTAGAGCACATAAATGGACCATCTTCATAGACGAGGCTTCCAACTCGACAAGAAGTAGGACATGCATCATCCTTAAAAACGATGAGGAGATCTTGATAGAAGTATCCATCACCATGTCCTTCTCGACCTCAAACAACTAGGAAGAGTAAGAAGCATTTCTGGCAGGACTACGCCTGGTCGAAGACTTGAGGGTCGAAGAAGTAAAAATCTTCACAGACTCCTAGCTCGTCGCCTCTCAGGTACGGGGAGAATACCAGGTCAAAAACGACCATCTCTCCGAATACTGGACTCTGGTCTGAGAAAGAATGAAGAAGTTCGACTTCATAGATGTACAACATGTTCCCCACGAACACATCACTCGGGAAAACATCATGTCGAAATTGGTGAGCACAAAGAAGAAAGGAGGAAACAAGTCGATAATACATGAGATACTTCCTCGACTAAGCATTGAAAAATCCCGCTTGACTCTGGACGTATGTGTTGTACCCCAAAATTTTCCCTCTCATTTATCAAGATTTTTCTCACAAGATCTCATTGGATTCAAGACTACACTAGGGTTTGATCAGCTCAAGACACCTCCTTATGCACTGATGACCAAAATTAGGGTTTGAGTTTGCACAAGGATTTTTTTGGACTATCAATGCTTCATATGACTTTCATGGACCATTATGGACCTCCAAGATTATTCATGTCAAGTTTCAAGCCTTGGATCACACTTTTGATCAATCAATTGAACAGTTGACCAAAAAATCAACTGTATTGGGGAAAAAGTCAACCATGGCCAATTTACAGTCAAACTTCATAATTTTTTATCCACATCAACATCTTAGACTCATATGCATCATTTGATCAAGTTTGGACCATAATTCCTCAAGAAATTTGATCAAATCATCAAAAGGGCAAAATGGTCAAAATTAGGGTTTTGACTGAGAAATGGAAAATTCCGATCTTTGGCCTAGAAAATGATCACTTGGTTTGAAGCATTATTTCAAGAGTTCAATTGCATCATTCAAAACATTACAAATCTATCGGATTTCCAGATGAATTTTCTAGTCAACTGATCAAAAGTCAATTGTATACTGAAAAGTCAAACTTTGATTTTTTGGTCAAATTCAAGTGCCAAAGATTAAAATTCATCAAAACATTCAAAAATATGAAACTTGATCATCAAGAAATCAAGAAAGTCAAAAGTCAATGTGAAAATTTAAACTCTTCAAAACTTGGAAATTTTTCTAAGTGTCTTTTATACATGATAATTTCATTTCTTCATGCCAACTTTTCACCACGATGTAAGATGATTCAAGGAAAAATTCCAACATGAAAGTTGTAGATCTCAAGGAGATCTAAAACTTTGTAGGGAGGGACTTTTTCTAGAAATGCTTTGATTTTGAGTTATAAATTCATGAAGTCATGGCATTTTTGAATAAACACTTAGAGAAATTTTCAGCAGTTTTGGTCAGGATTTTATCCCAACTTCTTGCCATTTTTTCACATAGTTACAAGATGATTTTTCAAAATAGCCAACATGAAAGTTATAGAGGGTGTTTCAAGCTTTCCAAGAGCATGAATTTATCATATTTGAGCTAGGAGATACAAGGATCTGAAGTTGGACATTCATTCTTGATTTACAAGGCAGATTTGTGATGAACAAGGGACAAAAATCTTAGTCATGCTGCATAATCTTCACTTTGCAGGCCTCTTGACTTGCAAATCTATCCATAGTAAGATGTTTACACAATTGATTGAACCATTATCCAAGTGGTTCAAGTATTGTCCATTACATCTTTCCATTTTTGGCACAAAGGCACCATTGCCATTCTTGCAAAGTTCACTTTAATCATAAAGTCAATTTATTGAGCCTCTAACTTGTTGTTCTAATCACACTCAACTTCTACAAGTCAGAACAAACATGTTTAAAGTGATCAACCACTTTACATAGCTTGGTACAAGTATTGGAAACATGTCCTTCATGTTTGCTTCAAAAACAAGCAAGATAACCATAACATGTTGTCTTGTAAACCTATTCAGCCTTTGTTCACAAGTCC